GGGAATGTCAACACCTCCGTCAATTAGCCTTTCGGAGGCGGCTTAGTATAAACTCTCGGTCACTCCATTAGTTGGAAAACCATGAAGACGCACATATTGGAGGAGGAGCTCGGCGGAAAATCGGTTCAGCGGTTACAAAGCGCCAATTATATATATATATATATAGATCTATTATCCTACGTCCTTGCGCCGTCTGTTACACCACCTTTATGACGTGGATGTTAGTTTTAATTTTTAAAAGTACATCAGTCAAGTTGGGCAGAGTCATCTTCATTAAGGCTTCGGACATTTTAGTTGCATACTCCCAAACTGTGGCGTTTAAAACCCTTACAGTTATCATATTATCGGAATTTAAAGAAAAGTGGACCTTGATTAAACAATCTATTAAATAGATTAGAAAATTTAAAAAATCAAACCTACAATCATCATATAGCTCAAGATTGAATACTGGACATCTCTACAGAAGTACCTTGAAAGAACTGACTATCACTCAAGCACCGGATTACAGTAACAAGGAAGAGGGGGCGGAGACTTTTAAAAGTGCCTTGAATTTTATTAAATAACTTTTTTAATCATTCCTTTAGCATTAAAAAGTCTCGTCCTTGAAACAAATAGTTGTACAGAAAAATATTTTTGCAAACACCTTTTTATTTTTTTTGTATTCTCTATTCATAAAATGTACATAACACAAATACATAACTCATTCCATGATAAACAAATATTTGTTTATTTAAACAACAAACATCAACAACTTGGCGAAGATAAGAAGAAAAAATCGCCCTTCTTAGATAATTTTTGTTTATTTTTACACTCCTTGTTACTGCGCGGTGCCACATAGAATAGTGAAAAGAAAGAGTATTTCAAATTTGTAAGTATATGCATGTGTTTGCTTACTCCTCGTTATCAATCTTCAGCTTATTAAGGATAAGATTACATCAAAACCGAAGAAAGGCATACAAAAGGATGCGCTGCGTGATTTCGTTCCGTGAGTAAACAATGAATGCCGAAGAATGGCAAGCAGCCAGCCAACATTCTGTGCGAACAAAAGGCTAAAGAATAGGCAAACACTCAAACATACTTATAAATATGTACATAAGTGTTAAGGATTGAATTTTATGACTGACACTTGAAAGTGATAAGGATGCCTTTTGCTTAATTTCCACTTACAAACATACAAATCAACAAATGAATATACATACATATGTATATGATGAGAGGCACATGTTTTGTTCAAATATTTGTAGTTGTTGCCCCCTAAGTGTGGGCGTTCGACAAATAAATTTGACTAATCTGTTGAAAAATGTTGGTTTTCGAATAGACCTACTTCAAACAAATATCATTTCACTTAAAACTGTAAGTATTTTAATAGCATTTGTAATTGTAGAACATCCTTTGCGCGGCGTTTATTAAATTCTTTGAACTGCCGTTATTTGAGTAGGTTATACTAAAAGAATGCTATAGAGTCTTGTTAGCAGGACCATGGAGTGATATGTCGGCCAAATGGCGCCAAAATGTCCAAATAGTGGTTATATTTCGATAAAGAAATAAATTTGTTTAGAACCAACTAACCATACACATATTTCTTATATATTGGTGAGTGTGTTTACAGACTTGAGACCACATGTTCTGACAATTATGCTGCTATATAATCAAATTAATTAAAGTTAAAAATCCATTAACAAATGAATCAAAATATAATTTACCAATATAACTCATGTGTATAAAATTAACTAAAAAAGAAATTAAAAAAAAAAAGAAATAAAATAAAGTAAAATAAATTCAATTAACTTAAATACAATAAAATAATATAAAATAAAATAAAATAATGCAAAAATAAGTAAATAAATTTAATTTAATAAAATTAACAAAATTAAAACTAATAATATAAAACAAAACCAAATAAATTCAAATCATATCAAAACATATGAAATAAAATAAAATCAGAGAAAAAAATAAAATTAAAAATTAAAATAAAAAAATAAAATAAATTAGAATAAAACAAGACAAAATAAAATAAAATATAATAAAATCAAATAATATAAAATAAAAAATACAGCAAAATGAAATAAAATAAATTTAAATATGATAATATATAATAAAGTAAGATAAAATAAATAAACAAATAAAATTAAATAAAATAAAATAAAAAAAATAAAATAAAATAAAATAAAATAAAATAAAATAAAATAAAATAAAATAAAATAAAATAAAATAAAAAAAAATAAAATAAAGTCAAATTAAAAATAAATAAAAACAATACTAAATAAAATAATATATAATAAGGTAAAATAAATGTAATAAATCCATAAAAATAAAAAAATTTCAAAAATAAAATAAAATAAAACAAAATAAAATAAAGCAAAATAATATAAAACCAAACAAAATCATAAATATTAAAATAAAATAAAAAAAAAAAAATAAGTTAAAGTAAAATAAAATAAAATAAAAGAAAAAGAAAAAATAAACTTAAAACAATAGAAATAAAATAAAGTGAAATAAATAAGAAAAAATTAAAATTTAATGAGAGAAATAAAATAAATTAAAAGTAAATAAAAACAGCCAAGTTAATAAACCGTATTTCAAAAAGAATTATATGGGATATAATATTCAGAGGTGAAGTCAAATTTGGTATTAATTAGTATCACGCTATGAATAGGGACACTTAATTAAGACTTATCGAGCGTTTCGATCTTCAAGAGAGAGGTTAGACTAGAATATAACTGTCTAGTTGGAGAAACTAGACTTGTTATAGTGGCGGTGGAAGGAATTTGCACGCTTCGGTACTTCATTACAGCTAATTTTCTCCTGTTCACCTTCGATCTTTAGTATAATAAAGACATATACAAACGCGCTACAGACACACTTCTTGTTTCACAAATACTTGTTTTGATAGTGTGGTGGTTGTAATACTCGATTTCTTTCCTTCTTATATGATGACATCACGAAAACCTCCGTCATCAAATTGGCAGCAATTGCACCTGATAGATGCAGCCACGAATTTAATGTGAATACGAAATTTGTAACAGGTGTTATTGCCACGCGCTCTTATTTACCAGCAAAGGATTCTCCGTTGCCTTTGCGAAGGTGTACGCACCTGTCTTTAAGAGTATTTCATACAAGTAAACACCGGCAATATTGGGGTTGATAGTTTAGTTTGAGAGCGCTGCATGTTGGGAGCATGTTAACGTACAGTGTAATTTCTGCCAAATATAACAGAGTGTTAAAAGCGGTTAACAGTGTACTAGATTTTTATAACAGTTTCACTTAGGAATGTTTACTGTAATTGTACTGTTGTTCGAATGGAGTTTTGTCAACATACGGCGAATTCAATTACATTCTGCTAAATTGGGTGTTAACGTTAACATGAGTAATTAATATTTTCCGTTGGAATTTGAGCTTGATCTACCTTATAGTCAGAAATTGGTGTAAATAATTATTATTATTTTATTTGTTTTAACTGCTCTGGAATTGCCCTTCAATTGATTTGCATTTATATTACATGTTCAATACATGAAATCAATACAATGAGTGAATGTTATTTTGGTCTGCATTAACATGTTTACCAGTTCACAGTTCTCCTCTAATAGAGATTGACCCAGAATTTTGATTTTCCATTGCCGTTTATCGCTGTTAAGTGCTCTTTTACAGACTGCTCCATAAAATTGTCACTGTTACAACATATTTACTTGTGGCATGCTATATTTCTGTGTCCTTTCTCTTCAAGTACCATTGCAGCATATTCTCTCTGAGCGCCAGCGCAGCTGTTATCAATTTTAGCCGGCTTGTCGACTCGCTCTGCAACTTTTTCTATACGCTTATCACCATTGAATATGGATCACAACAATGTCACAGCAATAACAAGTAGCAGCTGTAATGCATTTACTGTGCAACTCAATTGAAAACAAAATTTTTAGGCTAGTTTACTCTCCGCGCTCTCTGAAAACTAAGCATAAAATGCTCCAATACGCTGGCCGGGTGCAAGCAACGAGCACCGTTTACTTGCCACATACATACATAGTCTATGTTTACTTTGCCCGCTTGCCGTACACCATGACAGCAAGTACCAAATAGTAACAACAAGAACAAACCAACATATAAATATATCTACATATGTATGTATGTAGTAAGTATGGCAACCAGCTGCCTTGCCTGCTTGCTGGCTGTTTGACTCTGTGGCACGCGTTCCCTTGCTTACATAGACGCACGTAAATTATGCTGTTGCCGCAGCCACTACCAATAACATCGACAACGCTACCACCACCACCAGCACCGCCACCGCCACCGCCGACAACGTCATCGTCATCGTCATCGTCATAGCAGACGATGTACTCGTTGCTTGCGCTGCCTTTGCTCTTTGCTGCTGCTTTTTTGCTCTGTTTATTGGTGGCCCATGTCGGACACTTGGCTCGACTTGCTGTTCTGCCGAGGAAATTCAGTCATTACAGACGCGCGCGCTAAGAAGGTTCGCTACATACGGATATTCAATGTTGGGGAGCCATTCAAATTTTTTTAAATTCAAAAACATGACCACTGTGTAAAGGAAAATTACAAAAAAAAAAAAGTTATAACAAGTGCTCAATAGTGTTTGTGTGTGTGTATGTATGCTAAGATTTTGGCACATACCAAAGTTAATCACCGATGATTGACAGTTTGCCAATTAGAAATCGAAAGTGCTTTCTCTATCTATCGTAACTGATGACAAATATAAAATTCTGTCTATAACTGTTTTGTTCGTGGATTTATTAAGTGAGAGTAAAAAAAAATATTTAAATTAATGGAAAAACGTACGCTTAAAAATTGCTGGTTGTGCGAAGGTATATTATTAACAAAAAGTGCTTAATTCTGTACAAATTTATATATTTGAATTCAAGCCTGTGCGGCAAAGAACTGTTTTCCGCTTCTACTCCAAACATTAACGACTGAAGTTAATGTTTATTGCCGAAAGAAAGAGAAAATTGTTGTGTTTACTGTGCCCAAAATAAAAAATTGTAAATTTGAAAAAATTGTCTATTTCAAAAAAGTTTATAACAATTAATTAAAAGAAACTTGTAAAAAATAATTTGTTAAAAAAAATTAAAATACCTTCAAATTATAACATCTTCACAAGCTTGTTAGAGCTATAAAAAGTGTTTGTTAAAAACGGATTTTTAACAGAATTTTCAACCTTTTGGAATACTTTAAATGTACGTACATCTTCATATACAAATATGGATATTTGTTCCGACATAAAATTATTTTTAAGAAAAAAATATTTTTTAAATAATCTGTGGATCACAAGTCTGCCTCAGCTACATAGCAAGCGCATCTATTGTAGTAATTAATGACTATTCGGCAGACGAATTCTTTCGAACAGAATGAATGAGAATAAAAAAAATTGTAATAAATAAATAAACATAAATATATTTAAAAAATAATCAGAGAAGGGTTTCAACTTCAACGAACATTTTTTTATGAGCCGAACTTAACAGTTAATAACAGTTATACAGACCATTCCATTTCCATTTATGTTTCTGCTATGATCAATAGCTGCCTCAGTGAGGAAATGACTACAATAAATTTATATATTTCAAAGTTTAATAAGCGGTGGTGCTAGCTGCACATGTACATACGTTTATAGAGCGTTCCAAAATTCGAATTTTCCAAAATATATTATGGAAAATTTTTTTATAATAGTTTCTGATCCCTTTTCACTACTCCGCTCTACACTGTCAACTCTTGGAAATATTTTTCTCACATTAAAATTGATAACGTGTTGATTGACGATAAAATAATTTTAGTTAGTATTATTCATTTTCTATCGTTCGGAAAAAAGTATTAATAACAACCCTGGTTAAAACTTTCACTTCTTTATTTTTTTTAAACTCCCTTCACCTTAGAGGGTTATAAAAAATTCTATCTTTAGGAAACAAATCAACCAAAGTGCAACTACCCATTTGAAGTTTTCAATTTTAAAAAAAGTATTTCAAAAATCTACATTCATAGGATTCTTCAATTTGCATTTCCAGAAGAATTTTGACATCTGTCAAACTCAACTGTCAAACCAAACATGTTTGATTTTAGTCAAAAGTAGGTAATATTTTAAAGAAATTTGATCGGTTACAGATACTGTAAGGCCTATGCATCATCGTTTTGCTTGTTATGGCGTATTTTACATTTGAACTTGCTCTTAAATCCATATAGACACACATATAGACCCTGCACACACAAAAATTCAAACCAGCTGATCATTCACAATGCCGTACACACGCCGATTGGGTCCTTAAATAACAAGCAATGGACCTCGCACATTTTAGAATCAACTAAATTTCACTGCATCGTGATTCTTCGGAAGGTGTGATTCTTATCTCCTTTGAAAACGATAACGGCGAGACTGTCAGGCTGCAACTATCCATTTTACTCACCATCCGTCCATAACTGACGGCGTCAGTAGTGAAATACATACACGAGTTATCGACGCCGCTGAGAACGAAGAAATGTTGCCAGCTGCCTGTGTGTTTGCACACTTTTGAACAAATTCATAATTTTCGTCAACAAATTTCATGATTTATATGCTTGAACATAAACACAAGGCAAATATACATGATCTATATGGTAACAAATAATTAGTTACGCATTTATTTTTCATTTCTCTTGAACAAAACTACGCATTATCTTCGATTATTTAATGTTACTTTAAGAAAGGCTATACTGGCAACCTTGTATAGCAACGAAAAATGAGCCGAGCCGGTTTTACGGAAAAATCAAAACTTCGTTGGTTTCTGCGACACAAACGTCAGCAACGATATGGGAAAGCGGTGACAACTTTGTATTTACATGGCGCTCTCATAAGATAGGTTGCTATGGACGGGCGGTACGCGCGTTGGGTAGTTGCAGCCTCACTGTCAATTCGGATTTTATAATCATATGATTGCCGTTTTTTGACCAGCAATTGAAGAACATGACACGGACAATATGTAGTTCCTGCAAGAAACATCCCGCATGAAATGAGCGAATATGGCTTTATTTCTTGAGAAATTTCACGGTCACGTAATCTCTCGTCTCTGTGAAGTCAATTCGGTGCCGAGATCACATATTTTGACACCGTTGGACTTTTTTTTTGTTCGGCTAAGTGAAATACTTTGCTAATGCGGATAAATCTTTAACTCTTGAGCACTTGAAAACGAACCTCGAACCGATTAAAGTTTGCAAAAGTTTACAAGGTGGTCATTTGAATGATTTGCATATGGTTTCACATGTAATGTCAATGCCGCAATACGGCAACTTTGTATTATGAAAAAAACCGTATAAACAAATACTTGCTAGATGTGTTTGCTTAGCAATGTTTTGGCAAAGAGTGTTCACGTCTCAGAACGACACAAGATCTTACGAAACATATCAAGGTTGGCTAACAAATTTTTTTATGTTTCACTTAATATATACAATGCCAACTGGACTTTGTCACAATTGTCACTTAAGTAAAACTAATGTAAGCAGATGTAACTTTTGAGTTTGCATGCCACTTAAACGTCACAACGCATTTGTCCAGTTCTGATCAAAAATCACTAAATACACAAAATAAAATATTTTATTATTTCTTCAAAAGGTTTTACATTATTGTTGTAGTTAAATATAAAACACATGTAATGGGGTATAAATCTTGGCAAATTTATTCAACTAAATTAGTTTAAGAAGAGCTAAAAGCCAAAGATATGATCAACGTTGTAAAGAATTGATGAGAAACTAATAGTGGGAAATCGATAGGTTCAAAACTTCGAAAAAATACTAGTTAATCCTATTAAAATGGAATCTTATAACTTCAAAGATGTATCTGTTGTTTCCAGATCGGAAGCAGTTATTGAATTTATATTTATATTTATTTGATTATTTTGATTATTTTTATATTTTTCATAAACAAGAAACCTTGACCGCATTAGCCGAGTGGTAAGCTTTGCGTACTGTCATTCCGAAGCCAAGCGTTCGAGTTTCTAAAATGAGTTTTTCTAGATCATCATTGCGGTTATTTATATAATAAGCCACCTCCGATGGATTTTTATGAGAAATATTTGTTCAGATTTTCTAACCACAAAATTTTATAAATATTGAACCTCCTCAAATAATTTAAAAAAGATACAGAAACTTATGCTTTAATAAGCGGCTATGTTGGCATGGCCACTCTACACGTATGTTGGTGTTGAGTTTCGGCTGTTGGCTGTCTGTTGCTTCTGGTGTTCAATGTTGTGAGTTGACTTCAGTTCTTACCACGAATCAATCGTGGAAACGTCGCAGAAGAACTGCTAGAACGAGACAGTTTCGATCAGTGATCCATAAAATCCATTGTAACTGATGATGACATAGTTTGATATGCAAAACCGAAATACTGCGACAAAAACGACCAGAAGTCGATCAAAAGTTGACTGTTTTCGTTGATTAAGGATGATAAAAACAGAATATTATCTAAGCTTTAATAGGAAAATTCGTCGCAATGAGTCATTGAAATTTACTGATTTACCTGATATTACATCGGCAACTCTACGGAGCACTTCGAGATAGCAGTTCTCAGTTGATAGATGATGAATTCACGTCGAGATATGAATTTGACAACCCCGTTAATTAGACTTTTGAAATGAGTCCTTCTCTCCGCTGTCTTGACAGAACAATCATGCAGCGTGTATCGATTTGAGGTTTAATAGTTTTTCTAGAAGAGGTCACACTTTAAATAATTTGATAAATGTTGTACGTTGTAAGGTAATGGACTTCTATATCATATGAAGCCATTTCCTGTTTAAGTGTTTCTGCGATCAACACCTCCAAACTGGATCAGGAGGAATTTAATCATTCAAAATTATTTAAATATATATATTTTAAGATTTGTAGATCAAGTCTGAAGTACATACAGATGTTCCGGAAATTGTCATTTAAACTTGCCCCGCTGAATATTTTTCAGCACTTTTTCTGTTAGGTTGGTAGCACTGTCCTTAATTACTATGCCGAAAATGAGAGCGACTGTCAAACAGTTTGTTTGCAGCAGCTTTTGAAATCTGCGAATTTCCTTTTACAGCCTCAATTGAATTGAAAGGCTTCCACGTTACCACTCCGTGGTTGAGTTTTGGAAATAAAAACATCCGCATGTCGCCAAATCCGGTGAATATGTCGGTTGATCGATGGTATTGAACGAGCTTTTGGTCCTAAAGTTGTCCAAAACTACAGATCGGTGCCATGAAACTTTCCGGAAATTGTAAGCCTATATTTCGTTTACGACGGATGTTTTCGCACAAACATCTCAAACGCTGAAGGCAGAAAAAAGAACAATGAAATTAAGCACCATAATCATTCACCGGGGATTTCTCTACTCCTTGATAAATTCAAAGAGAGGGCTTTAGGCCGATAACATTTGCCTTTTATAGGCAAGTAAAATCAGAAAGAAATGTTCCGCAAAGTGAATAGACATTTTTTACGTTCCCGTCAGCGACATCTCGCGGTGGTTACTGGAGGAATTTAGTATCTGAGTGCACAAAAACCAAATCTATAATTTTAAGCATGATTATTGAACACTTTAGATCATATTTATAAGCACTTTTATGAAGGGCTACACCAAAAAGTGCGATTTCCAATTACAGTGGGTGTTGAAAAAGTAAACTAGAGCATATTTGTATGTCCGTATATTTTGAAGCTATTTAACACCAGCAAACTTTTTTTTCTTAATTTAGGCTTTTGTTTTTTCCCAACGTACATATGTTTATTCACCCGCGCTGTATAAACTTTACATTTTAGCTGCCGCATAAACAATGTGATCTATTTTCCCAGCCCAGCAGCTTGGTAGGTAGTAAATCAGTAAATGCGCAGAAAGTCAATAATCCCTATGAAAAATGTGCTTGTCGATCAGCGATTTGTAGCTTTCAATCTTAGGCGATTTGTTATTTTAGATTTGATTTAATGTTCCATACATTGTTGCCATATGTACAATCGTACATAAGTACATATGTATGTATATGTGTGTGCTATGTGGTGATGTGCGCATAAAAATGTGCATTTAGTCAGTCGTCTAAATGAAGTCGATGCATGAGTATGTGTATGAGTGTGTGTAGTATTTTACAGTCAAGTCAAGAAAACGTACAAGGATCAATGCGTGAAAAAAAATCATATATATATTTATGTATATGTATATGTAGAACATATCGACACATCAGCATTGACTGAATTTTTA